AAAAATTACAATAAAATTGGAATAACGAGAGATAGAGGAGCATGTGGAATTGATTTTTGATATCAATTAATCAATTCTTTTCAATTATTCAAAACTTCGTGAATTTCCAGTAAATTTAAACAAATCACGAAGGAAAAACTGATAATATATTTTCTGGAGACTAATAATCAAATAATTTATTTAAAAAATTGAAATAAAACTGGAACCACGAGGCATAAAGAAAAAACGTAAAAACGTAAAAATTCCAAAAATAGGAAATAAGTAAAAGATTGAAAAAATGAATATTGGCGGGCTTAATGAAGTGGCCATCTTGTTGGTAGGAAGAGTGGTGGGGCCAGTCTGTTGGTGTCGTTGGTGTATTCATAAGTGGTGGCGAGAGAGAGCCCAAGAAAGGACTAAAAACCCCACAGATACGACAATAAAATCCATCAATTTCAAAACCCACACCTCATCCACATAATTGGAACTGTCAAAATTGACCGTGTGGAAGTGTTAACTCATCTCTAAACAAGTTGTCTGGTGCTGTTCAGTGCTGGTGTACCCTGTGAAGATTCCGGGACGATCCCCCGGAGACGAAAAAACGTCCAAGGATCGACAAAATAACATTATCCATCCCCAACATCCTCGGGATTACCTCAGATTTTATCCGAACAATAATTATCCATAATTCGAGTGCTGGAGTCGATATTCAGGACTGCCCTCGAGCTTTCGACAGGTCTGAACATGGTGAGCATTTATTTCCCATTTATTCACCATTTACTCACCATTTATTCACCATTGACTCCCCATTTATTTCCCATTTATTTCACATTTTCTCCCCTTTCTCCCCCTTTTCCCGTTTGCAATTTTCCCTTCTCCAAAACTGGGAAAATTCCTATTTTTTCAAAATTCCTCAGCTTTCCCAGTTCTTCAGTTTCTCATGAGAGAAAATACTTTTTGCAAACTCTAGGAGCAACTAGGGATGAGAAACAATCCAACACTGGCCCGTATTGCCCCGTATGTTTAGAGAACGTGGAATCATTGGAAATTGGTATTTTTCTTTGTTGTTTGATTTTGCACAGTTTTTATTTATGGGATTGCTTTTTGTTTTCCGGTGGTGGGGATGACAGAGATTTTTGTTTTGACCGCGCGGACGTGACAGTGTGACAGTCCGTGTGTTTACCTCGATCCAGCGTTTGTCAATTTTTTTTTTTTTGATCCCCAGAGGCTGCGAAGTTGAGGGAATACTTGATTAGTGAATTTTCCAAGGATAGATTTGTGGTTTTTCCGTCTCGGGGTGAAGAGGGAATTGAAATTGTCGTGGATTTCTTGAGGTTCTGTCTTTTAACTTCTCATCGTGGAGGTGTTTGTTGTTTTTCGGTGGTTTGAGCCTTGGGGAGCGGTTGCAGATGAGTACGAAATCGATTTACCATGAATCTATTTTGAATTTCGAATTTAATGGGAAGATTTGTCACTTGTTTTGACTCGCGATGGGCCTAACACAATGGAGTTGTCAGCCGATGGACTCGTGGGAAAATGGATTCGTGATATTTATTTATTGTTATCGTTAAAAGTAAAAGCTTACGTCATCTATCTGCCCTCTTTTAATTCTCCACCTCCTCTGGCATTCTTCAATTTATTTGGAAATTAAATTCACGTCCGGATAATTGTGTTGTACATTATTAAACGGAAATCCGTGTATTTCCCATAACTTAGTTATCGATGAATATCTCGTAAATGATGGGAGACACACGAATTTTCATAAGTATCTTTTTTGCAGAGCGATATGTGCACTGCCAAAAAGATCTTTACAAAAATTTTTCTATTTCTTCTCGATTCGAAAATATTAACCGATAATTGCGAATCCGTTTAACGCTCCCTGAGAATCTCGAATTATCTGGAGAAAATTTGATTAAATGCATTTGTTTTTTTCTGTTTTATATAAAATATAAAGAGTTCAGCATCAACTGGTGGTACTGAGGGTTCAAGTCCAGCATCTAGTCCCGCATCAGCTGCTAGTCAAGCAATGGCAGCTCCTAAATACGGTACACTAGTTCCAAATCGTATATTTGTGGGTGGAATATCAGCGAACACTAGTGAAGCTGAATTGGCACAGCTGTTTTCATCCTACGGGAACGTAAAGGCAACGAAAATCATCCTCGATCGTGCTGGTGTATCCAAAGGATACGGATTCGTCACATTTGAGACAGAGGAAGAGGCTAAACGCCTTCAGCAGGATCCCGAGGGAATTATTCTCCGAGAGAGAAAATTGAATATCGCACCCGCCATCAAAAAACAGACATTCAATCGGTCCTTCGACGGCGGCTCTGGCTCTCCACCTGCTGTCCCCACAAGCCCTTATTATTACCCCAATGGTAAATTATTTTTGTCACAATTTTCGCCTGTGATCAGAAAAGATTCCACTGAATTATCTTTTTATTGCATCTTTTTTTTTCTTTCAGGAATGGGATTACCTTATCAGAATGGATTGACTTTCTACAATGCTGGTGCCCCAGCTCCAGGTACACCATTGGCTCCACCAACAGATCCAGCAGCTCTGTACCAAACAGCTGGAGTATTTGGTAAATCAGATGAGAAATATTTAAATTCATTCCCATCACTCGCATGTACGAGACAATCACTTTTTTTTCAACTGATAAATTCAATCATTTCTCTTCTCCTTTTATTTATTTATTTATCCCTTGGACTAATTGAAAGACCGCTTTAAATATAAATTCTGTAACACGTAATTATAATAGTATTACTATTATTTTTAATAAGCCCTTGAAATTAATAGCGAAATGAATTTTTCCTGGTGTTTACAATGCGAATCTATATTTTATTTTTCAGGCCCTCAGGCAGCTTCTGCACATCAGACATTCGCACCGATGGTATACCCCTGCCCAGCGCCATCCTTATACATGCCACCTCAGTATCAGTATCCCCCAATGCCTGTAAGTACCTCACGCTAATTAACTCAATTCGTAAATTACTGTTGAAGAAATCGAAGTCAATTATCTGATTGAAATTTCTTCGACTTTTCCATAAAAATAGTAAGATTTAAAACGCGAATTAACGAGTTGAATAAATTCATGAGTTCATCCATCCAGTTAAATTTCATACTAACCAGCACGAGAACAATCATTATTCAAGTGGAATAAATTTATAAATTGTGTAAATCCAAGGAGTGATGTGATTTTATTTTAATAGATAAATATTTATTATTTACGAATTGGGGAGGAAATAGAGAGTAATTACATGATTCAATTGATTTTATTCCACTTGTCTGCAGAGTTGGGGGTATCCGAGTGCTTCTCCTCCCAGTTGCTCTGATCTTCTATGAAATTACATGTTTTTATTTGTTTATTAATTAGTACTCGGATAGTCCCCACAAAAATTGAATAATTTATTTACGTTGGTGAAGGTGTGTTGTTTATAACTGGTTCGTAATACCCTTTTGGATCGACCACACATAATCACTAGACAACCTAGCGACCTAGATATCACATTAGATAATTGAACACCAAATCACTCATTAAATTATCCCCAAGTGGAGTTGAAAGTGTAAAAAACAAATATTTAAATTGAATGATTTGGACAGACAAACGGTCTAATGGGAGAAGCAATACCGCCGGCCTTCCTTCCAAATCCACAACAAATGCCTACTTATGTACTTCTCGACGCAATACAGTATTGAGGTTTAAAGGTACAATATGAAAAACAAGAGAAAATTTGTAACAAAGAGAGATTAAAAATTATTTATCAATACTAAATTCTACAAATTCAATTGATATTGAAAGATTGTTTTATGTGATTTTGAGCATGTACTGTGAACGATTCCAGCACGTTTAAATATTTTATTCTATTCAATCCAACCGGAGACATTTTTTTTTCTCAACAATTACACAACAGATTTTGCATGTATAACTGTTGTTTGTGGCTTCGATATTTTATTTTAATTATTTGTGGGCTTTGAGAGGTTTGCTAATTTGTTTTCTCATTGTCCTGCACAATTTGTGAAATGAAAATCACTAAATGATTTTTTTTTACAACCTGAAAAAGAATCATACATTTTTATTTCACTGTATTAGAGAAAAGCGATAAAAATTATTTGAGGGTGATGAAATTTATTTCTTTTCTTTAGTACGAGTCGTATTATCCTGGAGCAGCTGGTGCACCACCGTATATATTCACAGCGAGTAGTGGAACAACTAATGGAACAAGTGTTGGAGCAAGTGGTGCACAAAATAGTCCAGTGACTGGTGCAACGAGTCCACAGGCTAATCATCACTTTTACCCAGGTACTGGACCACCAGGTGCTCCACCAAATCATCATCCCCACCATCAGACTGTTCCGAATGGTCCAGCCGCGAATCATCAAGGATTAGATCCAAATTACTATAGTTTTCCTGGGCATCAATCACAGGGACAGGGTACACCAACGCATGGAAATATTGGACTTGGGGAGCAACAGCTGGTGATTTATACGACTGATTGCCAACAGCCTACGAATTCCGATGGCCAGGGAGCTACACAAGAGGTATAACTATTCCCCGAAATCGAATAATTTCATTCCAAAGTGAATTAAAATAATTATTCATCTCTCTATTTCTTTTTTCAACTAAATTTTCTTCAATTTTGAGAATATCCATGATTTTACTCCCTCAGGAGACACGATCGACGTCAAGCCACTCCCAAACCGACGTATCCCATCCCCATCAGTCCCAAATAACCTTGGACCAGTCCACACCCACAAATCCCCCCACAACTCCGTTAATGTCTCTGATGCCCCTGAAGTATCCCCTGACACCTCGATACTCAAATTATCCCCATGCCCTTCCTCTTCCCCTGACCCCTACACCACCACAGACGTATCAGACAGACCCTGAAGACACAACAGGTGGTGCCATGCATTGTAGAACATTCGTATACCATCCAGTCTTCATTCAGACACCTTACAATACCCCCAGCCTTTTACCAACACCCACAAATTCACAGACAACACCCCAGAAGAGTCCCTACACTCATCAACGAACTCCAAATGGCTACTCCCTCTTCTCCAATATCCATCAGGCCCATTATCCCAAGTCCCAGGTACCAAAAACTCCACAAATACCTCGTAAATCAACACCAACGTCCTACGTCGTCACCAGGGGCTTTGACAGATCAACTGTCACGTCAACGACACCGAGACCGAGTGGTAAGAGTAGTGATGTCAACAGTGGGCGTAGAAATATGAGAAATGGTGGGATTGGGTACAAAAGTGGAATTTCCAATGGTCCTGGAGACGATGGCAATGGGCCTGATAAGAATACTAGTCCACCACCAGCACCGTACTCACCAATGACGAGACCTTTACCCAATTTTTCACCAACGAATCTGCAGGTAGTCCTTTTCATCCTTTTCTTTAGGTGAAAAATATTGAGTGCAGTGCGATTATTTCTATTTTTTTTTTCTGTTAAAAATTTCAGTAAAAAAATTGAAATTGACGAATAATTGAGGTATATCTCGTGCAGATGCAGTTCTACAATGCTCAGGGACGTTATCAAGCCCCAGGACAATCCCCCAGTACTCAGTCACACGCCCCGATGCCAGGCCAACATCAACGAAGATCATTGCCACAGCAGAATTCCATTGATGAAAAGAAACTTCAGGGGAGATATGGCCTCGGTGCCCAGGGCTACTTTAGAAGCAACAAAGTCAAGGTAAATGGCATCAACAAGACATTGAAAGAGGGTATCGGAGGTGCTGGTGATGCGCAGGGTGCCAGGATACAGATGACATCACCTCGAAATACCCAGGATAATCAAATGCCAGGGACGTGCCATCAGATGGAGGCCCTCACCCTCTAAAATCATCCAAAAATCATTTTTTTTTCCCCTTCGAAATCTCATTTTATCATGGAAATTCACAATTTCCAGTTATTGTTGTCGATATTTTGAGGGGATATACGATTTTTCACTCTCAAAATATACAAAAGAAAATAAAAAAGAATCAAAACTCCTAAACAAGGAGGCTCTTGATTTTTTTTTTCGTTACCATCACTATTGAGAGTGGAAAATACATTTTCTGGGCCTACATTTGTTTTACATTTTTTGGGGCCTAAAAATGTGAGAATAACCCTCGATAAAAAATATTGAATAATGAAAAAAGGCTCTTTAATACTTCCTGATGATAAATGAAAAAACAAATCGTTATATAAAAACGTTATTATATATATATGTGGTAAGGATATGGCATGTTAAAGATTTAAAGAACTCTAATGACTATTAAGGAAGTTAAAATAGGCTTTTTGTTTAATATTTAAAACTAATATATTACGAGATAATATATAAACATATATATTTACACGTGTAGTGCTGGATGGTGAGTGGAGGGGAGAGCACGCATTATTTATATCACTAAGGAGATAAAAGATATATTATTTAATGATAATTCAACGTAATTTAGGTAATGGAGACTTGAGATCATAAGCTAGAAGAGCTAGAAATCATTAGGTTATTTGTCGAATTGCGAGGAGTTAAAAATGCTAGGCTCTTATATACTGAAAATACATTTGTGAGCAATGCTAGAGTAGTTAGGAAGTCGCGGGAGTAGGGAAATGATTATTCCAGGAATGATTTGATTAGGGAATATTTGAATTGTTGAGGTTCTGGGGGCTGCGGTGAAATATGAATTTGCAATTTCAAAGGGGAAATGTGAATTTCCACATTTGGAACTACAATCGTTGTTGTTTAAAATTGATTAATACCCCTCCATAAATCAAACATTCATATTTCATTGCTCCACCAACCAATCAATCCCATTAAATATTTGATCGATTGGAATTTGTAGAATTACAACAAGTTCTTCGGAATTTTAAGATAAATGAAAAATAAAAGATAAAACCTTAGAGCACTGGGTGCACCAGGTACTTAATTCTCTCGACGTGATTTCCGAGGTAATAATTCCATTGATGACTTTCTTCTTTTTAGAAAAATTCACACTTCGAAAATTACGATTATCAATTCCGAATAACTCAATTCAATCCAATTCCAATCCAAAAAAAAACAAATATAACGAAAAGAATACTTAAAAAATATTGAATCGTACAAAAAAAAATACGAGCGATCTGTCATGTGTTCAAAGACGTAAAAAAAATTGACTAAAGTGTTTTTGGGGTACTAGTGGGACAAAGGAAATAACTAATCATTAAAAAAAAGGTTGCTCAAGACACTGCCATCTTGTCTACGAGATAAACTCATCAGTCAGTTCGTTTTCATCGTCAAATTATTTATTTAATCACTGATAAACGAAAATTCAGAACGTACTTAAGCCTTCATTTCCCCATTTCTATCGATAATTTTCCATTCGTTATGGTTTAACCGTTTAAATCCTCAAGTGATTAAAAATATGATTATTGGAGCAACTTGGGTGGTGGCCCTGAAAAACGATAAACTACGATGGAAAATATATATAAAAAAAGAAAAAAAAAACAATATTTAAAAAGTGTCGGCTGTGAGCTTCCAAGCAAATAACAATAATTAAATTATTATTAAATAATTAATGAAGTGGGAAGGGGAAAAAAATTATTATTAATCGTCGATTCTTTCTTTTGTGTCAAATATTCGTTAATCCATAATGTATTGTCCATTCGTTAATTGAAAATGTTGAACGTACGAAGAATTATTTAAAAGGGCCTAGATACGTTTGAAAACGGAAAAATCATTTAAAAAACTGTTAATTGTTGTGAACAGAAAATTTAACAAAAAATAATATAAGAGTGCCTTCTACTTGTTTTTCGTTGGTAGTGTTGAATTGTTTCTTGTGGATTAAAAAGTGAAATACGTTCTTTTTTTTTTTTCGTTTAGTTTGAACAGTTTTTTTTTCTCCACTGTGGGGTAATTTTTTTTTTTTTCAAGTCGATGATTGAAATTCTTTTCAACTGTTGACAAAGAACATCGGAGTATTTTAGGTGTTATATTAAGGAGTAATGAGATATATACGCGAGCAGCTCATTTCGGCACCTATTTCTATGTATGATACACAGATATATTCAAATGGGAAGAATAAATATGTTGTTAAATGTGGATTGGTGTGAGGAGAGGATGATTATGCATTCTGTGATTAGATGAAATTTTGTTGAATTGTTGTTGATGATGTGGTGATGAGGAAAAGTATTTCCCATTCAGTTTTTTTGGAATGAATTTCATCAGATTTTCAATTTGATGGTGAATAATTAGATGCTCCAGGAAAACTGAAGTGATCACTCATTTTTCACCAGTTGATCGGTGAATTATTTGCAGTCTAACTAGACTTATCAAAAAAATTTCTCATGGAATTGTCCATTGAATGGATTATTTCCACGATCCCGGCGACTTTTGTTTATTCCGATGAAACGGTGATGGCCTTGATCACAGAATAAATAAATTCAATTGACAACTTGTAAAATCGATATAAAATCAACCAATTCTTTCACATATTAATTCATAGAAGTGAGTAAACATAATTTGTTTACTCGAATGTAGATGAAAAAATTGTTATTGCGAATGTCAGACTGGCTGTGACCCGTGTATTTGTCAGAGAGGTAATACGATGATGAAAAAAAAAATGAAATTACAAATTAATTGAAGACGGGCGTGTACTTCTGAGTGAATTTGGGTGCAAGCGCACGATTTATTTCGTGTCCATAAATACATAATATATACACTGAATATAAAGTATATGCTTCAAGAAAAAAAGAAATGTATATTAAGAGAAAGAATATTAAACAAATTAATACAAATGCTAGATGAATATTATAATAGCTAATAAAGAGGTATGAGATGAAAGAAGAAATGTGGAGCGTCGAGGGGTTGCGAAATGATAATTCTTGGAGCTGATTGAAATGCTGGAGAGAAAGAAAGAAAAAGTAAGAGGAATCGTTAGATATGAGATTTTAATTACCTAAAAAGAATAATTACTCAACTAAAAATGAAAAAAAAAACAATAAAGTATATTACAATTAAGAGAAATGCAAAGCATATATTTAATGAGAATATTAAATACTAATTAAATACAATACTTTATGAATAAATCAAAAATATAAAGAATGACGAAAATCTGTGCACGGAGTAAATGACGAAGAATGGAGACAAGTATAATACAGATCTACTTAGCTCGAGTAAATAAATGATTAATTATTAACAAAAGAATATATTATATAGGTAAATAAATCTCATTCATCACGAGATCTAAATATATTAGGAGGAATAAACAAAACAAATATATATATACATACAAAGTAAAATGTAAAATCTCTATCGCAACCGAGAAAATCGTACATAATAATCATAACAATAAAAGATAAAACATGGAATCTCATTGAAAAAAAAAAACAAGAAATGAAGAAAAAATCAGATTAACGTGTTTTTATTCTTCACAATCTTTTAATTTGTAGTTTATAGTCTTTATTATTAGACCGGTGTTTTAATTGATTCATCAGAATTTTTGAAATTCAAAGTCGGGGGATTTCCCACTCAATAAGATGGCGGCACTGTCGTCCAATGAGCGTCAGTGGTGGGTGGAAAGTTCAGAATAAAAAGTAAAAATAAGGGGAAAAGGCGATCAGCGATCGTTTATCATTTTTCCCTCAGACTCGGGACATTGTCAGTTATTTAGCAGGCAGATAATTAAATCCAGTAATACGTGGATCAGCGAAATTTGGGAGGGATTGGGGGGAGGTATGAGTGGGGAGAGTCACCAGAAAGGAATTCTCGAGTGATAATAAGGTGATGAGTCAACCCAGGTCTTTGCTGTAAAAAAACTGGCTGTCATCGCCCCCGAATCGCGGAAATAGTATTGAACGTGTGGGTGGAGGGTTGTAATAAAAAAAAGTAGTGAGTATTTCCGGTCCTTCATCTTCAGTTAATTCTGGACGTTTTTAAGGCTTGGGGATTAATGATTGATTTGTCATTCAGGGAAAGATGTCAAGTGTCAACAATTTGGAGCAACAAATAGCTAATCTGCAGATTGAACATGGAAGTCCCCAAAATCCGGGAAAAAGTGGGAAGAAAGTGGGCCCTGCTGTCCCCCCAAAACCGAAGAAGTCACAGCCTCAGGTAATTTTTTTTTTGATCTATTAAAATTGTTTCGTGGTTTTATACTAATGCCTCTCACTCTTTCATCTTTCATGCCAATATCATAAATCCATTCTGGTAATTAAAATGAACTTTTTAATTATTAATAAGATGTTCAGGTGATGATAAAAAAAAATCTTCAGGTTCCTCAGAGTTATACAATTAAAGCAGCGACGACTCCATCCTACAGTACAGTCTTAAACAATTCTGGGACTGCAGAAAAGACCACAAATCTCTACGCCAACTCGCCAACTCCATTTTCAGCCCCACCAGAGAAGAATGTATTCTCAAGATCTCACGGGTCCACTGATAAATTCTACAAGAATGATAACAACTTTTACCAGAACAGCGACCACTT